GTGACTTACAAATGTGCCAGTGATGGGCAGGTTTTGCATTCACTGTTCCTCTGTAAAAGCACAGGTCTTTTCCCCAATGCTCCCCAGAAGACTTCTGCAGGCCAACTAATAAAGACTTCCCCCTGTGCAGGTAGATGCAATGTAATGAAATTGAATGTGTGCGCTGGGCTTTGTAAATAATATGAGATTGACCCCAGCCATTATCTCATTTATCTCATTTGCATTGTAAAATCAGTATCTACACTATTGATTGGAGCATAATGAGTTAATTATGAACAGGAAAATGCAGTTATGTTGGGCTTGAGCACAGCCAGCTGTACTGCTAAAAAACTAATAAAAACAATCGAAGGGCAGGAACAGATAGAAATCACTTTATTAAAGAACAAAGCAGACTTATTTCAGGTATGGAAATGCCTTAATCAAGCTTTTTTTTTTTTTTTTTTTTTTTTTTTTTTTTTTTGCGGTAATGTTGTAGATGTTTCATGGATGAAAAATGAAGGCAATGTGTCCACTGCCACTGAAAGTTTGTGTTTCAATAATAAAATTGAAACTATTGTGACATTTCCTACTCTCTTCTTTAACCACCTGCCTCCTGCTGGCACAATCAATGATGGCATCTGCAGGGACATGGTAACCCTTACCTAGTTTCTCTCTTAGCAAAAAAAAACTTGTCAATACCATGACTTATAGCTGCTTTTCTAAGGAGACTTGTCCATCATTTAGGTGATGGTACTATTTTAGTGACTGCTGGTCTGTTGTTGGATTGGAAACCAATAGAAGATATTCAGCCTGGCACACAAGAAATTAGACATGCATTTTCCAGTTGCAACAGTGGCAGATGACTGCCTAATCCAGAGGCTAGAGCAGTGATGATTTACTCTTAGACTTTGCTTAAAATATGGAATTAAAGTGAATGGGAGTAACACAATATCACATTACTGTCTGAACTATACAAACCAGGAAAATGTGACAATCCTGTATCTTGCATTTGTGGTCATCTTCCATGGGGGAAAAAACAAAACAAAAAAAATGTAAAATAATTTCAAAATATCCCACATGAAAAGCTGACAATAAGAGGCCAAATCCTAATTCTACATAAATGAAAGGTGGCAGCCTGACTGTTCAGATAGTGCTATGCTCATTTACACTGGCTAATGGGCTTCACATTGCTTATGGACAGACAAGAAAACAGCCATTTATCTAGGTTAGTACTCCTTCCACAACACTTTGAGAAAACGTTTTGCTTTGTCACTGATTTGTAAACAACTTAATAACTTCTGTGAACCAACAAGAAAGCAGACATTTACCACATGTGTTCACAATAATGTAATCAGAAAATATGTCAGGGAAAGTATTTACAGGACATTGCACACTCCTCTCCAGACAGAAACAACCAAGCAGCAAAAGTTTTTTGCGGTGAAGATCTAGCTGACCTGCATTCTATACTTTCATAACAGAAAAATGTTTTAATTTTTTAGTTTATTGACCTAACTCCTTCAGAATTCACCTTCTTCACACCCCATTTTCCTGGTATATAGTGGGCTTATATCTGTCCTCATTAATTGCTTCAGTAAGGAACACAGTGATTTCTAATTTTGATGCATAAAGTAATTTCAGGCTTGTTAAAACATTGATAGTAAGCAATTACTTCTCAGTTAGAGTTAACTTAGGAGGTTAGGTTAGCTTGTCATTGTATGGAGCTCTGTTTTTATTTTCACAAAGTTTTTAGTACAGCTGCTAGCCAGGACATTGACTTAATTGCATTGGTAAATCATGTACTTAACCACAAAAAAAGTTATCCATAAATAATGGTAAGATAAAATTTGCTAGTTTAAGGGCTGTTTTGAAATTGTGACCTTGAATCCACAAGGGTAAAAATTTTAACTGAATGTTTAAATTGGAAGAAGCTGTTTCTTTCCCTTCCCCCTCACCCCCAGCCCAGTATTTTTAAATTGTACAATTAAGCCATCTTCAGGATGGAAGTGGATGATATTTGTAAATGACAGCACCGTGTGGCTCCTTTGCTCTGTAAATGTCCATATTGTGATTGATCTGTGAGTGCATATATTGAAAGGCTTCAAGACTGTCAGCACGACACTGTGACCCAATGATTTCATTCTCTAATTAAGTTGAAAGTGCTCCTCATTTTGTGTCTCTCTTATTTTCTGAATCTGACAGTGGATTTTCTATCATGTTTTGTAGCTAGAAAAAAGAACACAACTAGTATTACAGACTTCAAGGTTTAATCTGATTTTTACGAGTGCCATTTTAAACTAGATGTAAGATTTTATTACGGAATTGGGAACTAAGAATACCAGTTTTGTTTTCTGTATTGTGATGTGTGTAAGCTTCACATTTTGTCCCAGATTCAGCAGACAAGCGAGTTGCCAAACAGCTAGAGCATTATCTTCAACCAAGGTTCAGCATGTATTCATCCATTTTACCAGCATCATGTTCAGGGAACTTCAGAATCAGTGGCATTGTGTTTCACAATAGAGGATTTGTTTTCCAGAAAAAGCAGTATAAAGGTATATATCCAAATATATCCAAATATTTGGTATAGTCTCATTTTTATCATTGGACAGCTTTTCATGTCTTGATACAGGAAAATAATGCTTTTGTTTTTTACAAAAAACATTCTCAGCTGTGCAGATGCACACAGAAGCAATTAATATCTGAAAACTTTCATATGGATAGTTTAAACTCATTCTAGGAAAACACCATTTTTTCTGCTGCCAAACTAAACAGCTTTGAAGTGATAAAAATTAATGACAATAAACATTAAAAACATTCAGGTTTAGAATGGCTCTTCCAGATCTGTATTAATTTCATAATGTTCTAGTTATTTCAGCCCAGCCTTGCTAACTCCCCAAGTGTACTGGCTGAAGGAGGTGTCAGGAAGTACCACATTCTAAGTACAAAATGGAAAAGATGTAAAATACAGAGAAGTGTAATTTTAAAGGAAAAACGTTTTCTTTTGAATGCAAAAATACTTCTGTTTATAGGCAGTCATTTCAGAAAAAATCTAAATTAATACTGTTTGAAGTCAGATGTATATTTTAGGATTAAGCTCTGAATATGCACTAAATTAGTCAGAAATACTGTGATGCTTTATTTTGTGTTGCTTAGAGGATCACAAATAATTTACAAGAATGGAGATCTGATAGGCACTGCTCAAATGTAAGCACTTGCATGAAGAAGATTCTAGATAAAGAAATGGGTTAGGAAAAATATATTCCTTTACAGATGAGAGCATTAAGGCTCAAAGGAGGCTTAATCTTTTACTGAAGGTCACATACATTGTTGGGATGTAGAAGGGTAACCTATCTCATCTCCCACTCTCAACCTTTTTATTATTTTAATATGCCTTTCACAAGAAAAAAACTGCATATATTCCTAATTGTAAGTAATATATTTCTACATTAGAACTCTTTTGTCTTGAATAACCTTGAATAATTTCCTTTTTAAACTGTTTCCCGTGTCCTGGAATTAGATTGAGTTATTACTAAACAATCCCAAGGATATAGATTGTAAGACGATATGTCTCATTTTTTGAAAATACCAAAAACCATCTCAGTCCAGTGTTGCATATTGTTGATAGGTAGATTTTAGCTTGTAATTTCTGCTTAGCAGAGGACAGTACATGCAATACTTTTACCAGTGATCATGTCTTACGTATAACTGCTAAAAACAGGTGGCTCCCCTAGCAAGCACATCCTTAGCAACAAGGGCAAAATTATGTACTTAGATTAAACAATTGTCATCAGAAAATGGTTGCTTCTTTTAATTTGGAGACTAATCCTTGGAGAATAGTCACATGAACATTTTCCTCTGTTTATACAGTAGTCTGTTGTGTTAGTTGAATCCTCTTTCTTTGATGCACTCTGTGTTATGTTGATAAGTTAGATCCCTCTGCTCTGATGATGGCTGTGCAATGCTATTATATCAATTCTGGGGGATTTTAATTTATTTTTTTTAATGTTTGTAGAGAAGAAGATGAGTGACCAGAGAAGCAGAAAAAGGAAGTGTAGGGTATTTCTTAGATTTTTTTTTTTTTTTAACATTTCTGTATATTGGTTTTATTTCACAGTTTAAAGGTATATAATGAAGAGAATATTGCAAAGTCAATTTGCAAAAAAAGCTTTCTTTTTCACACAAAAGAATGCAGGGATACCACAAAGCAATGAAAAATCTTTTTCTCATTTTGAGCATATTGTTGTACTAATTTTAAAATCCTTCTATGAAACACCTGTTAAGAGTGTAGCATTTCTTCAATGCTGGTACATTAGGAATGGGTGAACAATAGCTGTAGTATATGTTTCAAGCTTTCTATGTGGACCATGAGTAAAGCAAAACTCTAAATAACATAAAATGGTTGTGTCTACATAGTGCAGTTTTGTAAGTGAAATCACAATGAAATCCTTTTAAATTAATGCCCCTTTCAAAAAAATTAAAAGCAAATCAGAAAAATGTGTGCATTTATTTATCAACTACATAGTCCTGGTATAGAAAATAAAATTCATAGCTACAAATTATACTTGAGTTGTTGAATATGTGAGCAAACATTTCACAATGTTTTCCTTGAACAAGCAGATGTGTAAAATAGTGTCTTAAAACTATGAGAAATCAATATTGTCATGGTCTAAAAAAATCACAAATATAAAAAACCAAATTACAACAAATGGCACTAAAGTATCTGGGTTTTTCTTTAATTTGCAAATTTCTGAAGTAATGTCATTTATATAATAATATTTATATGATGACAAAGTTGATGTATGAGTGTCTACATCAGAATATTACACATTACGCAAAATCTTCCTGAAGCAATTGTGTTTGAAAATACCCTGCATAGAAAATGGATTTTCTGTATAATGATAGTGAATCAGGAAATCTTGTGCTGAGAACCACAGCGAAGCTCAATCTAAAATGGAATAGAAGTACCATTTTTTTATATATATATGTGTGTGTGTATATAATTTTTGTATTTTTTTCTGTTACAGATGTGACGAATGCAGGCTTTGCTACCATTTTGGCTGTCTAGACCCTCCCTTGAAAAAGTCTCCTAAACAGACTGGCTATGGATGGATTTGTCAGGAATGTGACTCTACATCCTCCAAAGTAAGTTAATTCGTCCTGTGAAATAATTGAAATGTTACGATTTTAGCAGTCTTAGCAGCTGAAGTTTTTGTTGAAATGCTATACATAAGTCTGCTGTGAAAAACAGTAGAAGGTCATAAAATTATGATTTAAGATTCTCTGTAAAACAGGCAAAAAACAGAATGTATGCAAAATGGAAATATTCTTGGTCAATAAAGAGAATTTTATTCTCCTGGTTAAATGCTTTCTTTTCACATCATGTTCTGTCTGAGAAAGTAGTGAGTATTGATACTCTTATCAGGGTTGGTAACATTATTGACAAGTGGAAGTATTTAATGAGTAGTACAGAATACACATCTTAAAGGACAGAGAGAGAAAATGCACATTTTTCTAAAGAACTGAAGAATTTTTTGAGCTACTAAATCTGTTTTTTTCACGGGAAAATAGTTTGAAGTTTGTTAATAGTTTATGTTGATTGGTATGCCTTGATCAAATAAAACATTTTAAAACCAGAACTAAATTTTGACATGGATTAACTCTTTTTAATAATATTGATCGTAATAGTATGCTTCTGTAGTACTGATGTTACAAATAATAAAGATTTTGAGTCATTGTTTGTCTGCACAGAAGCTTCTGTAGTACTGGTATTCTTTTCTATCATCACCATTACCTCTGAAGAATCCCTTTCCAGTTTATTTTCAAAACTGGATTTGTAAATGCATCTGATACCTCAATGTTAAAATGACAGAGCATTCTAAGTCTTTTAAAGTTTTACAGGCTATCTTGCCACTTTGTATTTTGCAGAATTTTTTTAACTAATAAGGAAGTGAGTCAGCATGTGGATACACAGGCACAGAGTTATGCAGAGATGTTGTCATAAGTTACCTGTTAGCATACTTGGGATATTTAAACTCTTTCATGATGTTAGTCTTAAAAAAGGAAGATCAAGTATGTTCAGAGAGGGGTCTAACTTTTTGGCTTGCTGGTGTCCCTTTCCAACTGATAAAAAATGGTGTTCAGTTTCACCATGAGGGGTTAATCAAATTCTTCCTCTGTAAGGAGATATGAAGACAGACATCGGAAATTAGCTGTCCACTACAGTTTGGACATCAAGCAGTCTTGCCTGAATACCACTTACTTGCAATGGACATTCCAAGAGTGAATTAAAATGGTTATTGAATTTCTGTCACCTACTTAAACTAAAAGGGGTTCTTGATAATAGTAAATATCTTCCGTCTCTTGTTCTCCTAGCTTCTTATGAGTAAACAAAAAGCTCAAGGTTTGTAATTTCTAAATGTGTTTTCCATGAGATTAGCAAACTATGTACCAGGTGAAATTTAAAAAATGCTTTATCATGTAAATGAAATATGATTGACTTCACTTAGCACAAGACGTGTGTTAGTTTTAAGGTGTGTGTTGAAAAATACAATGTTATGAAGAGTAAACAAAGTTTATCATTAGAATGATGAAATATATTGTGTTATCTTAGTGATTACTACAAATTAAAAAAAAAAAAGTTACTGTGTCTAATTTTCTTTTTCATTCATAGAGATTTTAAGTAGATTTAAATAAAGTCTTTGTACTTTAAAGCACAGGTAATTTGAATTGTATATGAGTGAAAATGTAATGAATATGAAAGATACTGAAAAATGGCCTTATGGGGACTCCTTGTGGTTTTGGTTTGTCACTTTCCTAAAGCTTTTCCACAGAGCAGAGCAATTTCTCTGAAAAATCTATATTTCACTCTCTGCCTAAGAGGTTTTTTATGTAGCTTCTTTTTGTTCTATACTGCATAACAAATCCAAACAACATGGTGTTGAGTTAAACTCCTTACAGACCTTCCTTAATGCAAGCATATTATTTAAAAGATTAGCTTTTTTAATGTAGTTAACAATTTTCAAATTCAATATTCTGTATGGCTTTAGAATTGTGTATTATATATATACATAATTTTGCACAGCTTTTCACAACCAAGAGGAACTGATAGGATAAAGTCTTTTTTCAACCCCTCACTAGAGGGGATGATCTCTCAAATGTGTACTTAAAGCTCAGAAGAGGAAAACTGTAGAGAAAGTTGCATTGTTTGCTGCACTCTGCTTCACCTGTGGATGAATTGCAAGCCTGAGCTACCAGCAATTTCAGTGTCTCAGTCACTTACTAAATCTGATTCTTGGTGTGTGACAGGGAAGTTTTGTGTGTGGGTTATAGCAGCAAAAAAAGGGGACTGAATTTCCAGCTTTGGCTAAGGAGAAACTATTGTTTAGCTTTCGTTCCCTCAACTTGATTCATCTGTTTTGACCTAATTTAAATCACTGCTATAGTATTAATTTTAAAAATTCCCCAGCAATATCTTCTGTAGCAGAATTGGGCCTTGAAAACAACCAGTAGGTAAATTACATTATTTCAGTAACAAGAGAGATCATAGTGCATAGCATATAATAGTTCAGGTTTTCTTTTTAATTATGAATTTCAGCTTTAGATGTTCAGGAAGAGTTGCATGCTGCTTACAACGAAGAATGTGATTTTATTTTCAGATTTTGCTAAACACTTCTGAGTGTCAGCAGTACAAGAGATGTAATTTAGCTGTAATACACACGTGCTTAAAATTGTTATCTGTCACAAGTGTGGGACGTGCTGCTTCCATTTTGCTGATACAGTCACAGGACTCTCCACCAGTTGTGTCAGTTTTCCACCAGCATAACATATTCCCATATTACGCTGCCTGTCAGATAATAGACAGACAGTGACTTTGCTGTAGGGCATGAGGGCAACAGCTTCTCTGCTGGTAATACTCGCTGTCACTTTTATGGAATGGGTGATGCTCACTGCTAAGGTCTGACAAGCTTTCTCATCTCAAAAACATTGTAGATTTTGTTACATCGCATGAAAGCTGCGGTAAACCTATAAGCTCTCCAGTCCTATAACATTATCCGTCCACCCTGCCAAAGGATTACCTGGCACTTTCAGGATGGCCAGACAGCACTAAATCATAAATTTGCAGATTGTTTCAAATAGTGATATTCAGAATGGATTTAATAAAAATAAAATAGAAGCCAAATCATTCAATAGCATTATGTGAAAATATTCCATAGAAATAAGTGTAGCCTCACCATTTGGTCATTAGGTGCCATAAGTGTCTCATTATAAGGTCACCATATGATTACATGCGGACTTCTTTATGTTGCCCTTCATTTAAAAAGTGCTGTTTAAAAGTATCTCCTCCGGTTAAAAAAAATTGCAAAAGGCCCAAGCAGCAAAGAATTTAAACATACATCATGGTGGTTACAATGACTGTGCTAGTTAGGTTTCTATCTGCTCATCTTTGTTTACAATCTGTTTTGCAAAATGCTGCAGAGTGTGCATGTCAGGTCATTATTTGAGTGCTGCAAGATCAGCTGCCTTGCCTCTAGATTTCTGTTTAGTTTGCTTTTTTTTCATCTTTTTACTGTATTGCATTTTTTCAGTGGAAATAAATTGTCAGGATGTACACATAGAATTCTCATCTAAACCCCTCAGGAAATATTTTCTGGAACTGAAAATACATGACACACCAACCCTAGCAAACAATATTTTTTATACATCTTCTGTGTTGGAAATCAATCATGGATTATTTTACTTCGTGAATAAGCAATTTCTTTTGGTATATCTCACTTTCACATAGTGAATAAGCAAATTAATTGGACACTGTAATATTAAAGTATTGAATATAATGTTGGAAATAGTATTTTTAATTTTAAATATTTTTTAAATGTACATTTAATTTAAAATATCTTAATTTGGTCAGATAAAAAGAAAAACTGAGCAATTCAATTTAATTCCTGTAGCCTGTGGAATTTTATTCTAGTAAAAAATAAAGTTGATGCTTAAGAATGCCTATATTGAAGTTTCTTTTCTACTCACAATTTATGCAGGTGACAACCTCATTATGATTTATTGAATTTAATTTATTTTGTTATTCCTTTTTCTCAAACTCGGGCAGCATTTTTTTACGCGGGTGATTTCATGCAGCTGTGTTAAAAAATAAACAGAGAATCAAAAATACCTTGATATAAGCTCTAAAAAATTTGGAAATATCGAAGTTAAGGTGGCATGCAGTGCTTTTAGTCCTTTTTTTGTGACTGTATGTGGGTTTACAGCCTTTAATCACTTCACGCAGTTTTTGTTTTTTTTTCTGTAGGACCCCTGCCTTCTCTGGCTTTAGCTGTCCAGGCTCACTGAAATGGATAAATTTGAGTTGAGTATTAAAAGAATATAGTATATTCAGATTTTACAGTACATGAAAACTGAAGCGATGATTTCAGAAACAGAAAAAAAAAGGAAGCTTGACCTTATGTGTGAAGTAGTTGAGCTGTGACCAGAAAATCGAATTTTACTTTCGTCTCACCCCAGAGCTCCTGTGAGTGCTAGACAAATGAACATTTTCAAAAGTTTAGTAATTTTTTGTCCTTGTTTGCTGTAGCCCAGCTTAGATTCCTTGGCCCAACATACAAAAGAGCTGATTTCTGAGAGTTGCAGTGGGTGACAATGTAAGCTGTGTTTTGAAAGTACCAAGTATCCATAATGGTGTGGATAGACTATTGCAACTTGAGTGACTAATTAAATAGAAATTTTCATTCTCCCTCTCTCTGTCTTGGCTTCTGTTTTGCAAAATGACGATATTACCCCCTTACTTTAGACATTTTCCTTAGGTTTGTTTAAATTGCTCTCTGGAGCTGCCTTTCCCTGTCCACTGACTATAGGAAGGAGCCAAGACAATTACTTTAGATCAGCAAGGGTTTTAGTTTAGGAGGGATTCTCCTTGCTTGAGTATCCACCGAAGATGATTGAATCAGCGTTGCATGGACAGACTTAATCTAGGCATTAACTAAACATTCAGAACAACACATTTGCAATATAACTAGTATCGTTAACATTTTATATAGACAAGAAGACCATATTTGAATATACGAGGTTGGCACATTGGTGGTACACATGCATGCGTTGTCATATCTTAAATATGTTTTGTAGTCCTTTTGTACTTA